TCGATTCTTGACAATCCACTGACTCGCTCATGTCTTGCTTGGTGCAATTTTCAAGTAACATCCAGGGAATTTCCAAAGTTGGGAGTATTATTCATAAAATTCAGGTATAGTCAGGTGTATTCAGAAGGACACACAAAATATTGTATAGTATGTTCTGACAATGAGCAGTCCACTGTGCTTTCTTCGGATTGTCAAGATGTATTCAGAAGATGTTTAGGATCTCGCTCCAGATCGTAATAAATCCATGCCGCCCACGCCCGAACATGGCCTTGGACGCCCCGGGTGCTACATCTGAGTTCTTCCAAAAAAACCTTTGAAAAGAAAGGAAATTTGCCGCCAAACTTTCGCACGCCCAGACTAAAGCAAGAATATTGAGTATTGAGTATCTTTTTTGCCGCTGCAGTCCCTTCATGCATTATCATTGCGAGTCATAGCGTATGAACCAGGTGCCCTGACTGAAACCATGGCCAAGGTGGGAATATGCGAAGCCCATTGAAGCCCCCTTCCTACAATCCTTGCCATCCTTGAGATGATTTTATGCGCTCGCGGGAAACCTCCATGTGCCTGTGTTGGGCTGAGTCTGGCGGATGCGAACGGTCTGAAGTACGGAGTCCAACGACTCCGAGCAGAGTTTGTACCATGTCACGCTTATACTGTTTTGCTTGCGTACCGAATGCCGAAAGTACAAATGACATGGCGCACATGCAACAAAGTTATTTTTGTCCTCGGAAAGGTTGTAATATTATAGTGACCTTGTGCGAGGCCAGTAGGCTAGTGGCAGATGATAGCGTGGTATTTCGATTCTGCTCGGTAGGCTGAACCACCGACGAAATGGTCTTGGACAGGGCCCAGGCAGTCCATCCAGGCTTCGCGATCTTGGCAATTGTCGTTGGATGAACGCAAGTGTCTCTTCCACGGGCTTGCTACATGTGCGTTTGCAGTGACGTCACGGATCTTTTTTTTCTTTGCATGGCCATGTTGTGCAAGAGCGCTGAGTAGCTAAGTGCCCACGGTTGAAAATGCCGAAACTTCGGCATTCTTGTAGACTTTCGATGACTTTCGCAGTGGCTTTGACAGAAGCAGAAAACAGAGTGTGAACATATATTGAAACAACACCGGATCATGGACGTGATGGTAACTGCAACCCTCCATCCTCATGTTACAAAGACAACGCATTGGTTGGAAGATGTTGGAAGTAGTCGGATTTAATTAGTCGAATATGCATTGATGGCTCCCCATTTCTTGCAGACAGTCTGTACCTTCCCAGACATTCGCATAGCCCAGATGTTGATGAAGCACACGTTCAAGTTCAACCTGCTTAGATTTGGAAGTGTCAAATTCAGCTACCTGAAGAAAAGATCTGGATCCAATGATTCCAATGAGTGACGATTAGTGACGAACTGTGGTTTGCTCAGAGAATAAGAACAGTCAAAGGGGCCAACAGGGTCACAGGTGCCATTTTGGGGTATGGATGTATGCTGAAAGCTTAAATGGCTTAAAGTGCCACGGATCATTTTTGAGATTTTTGAGCCACATGAAATCTGGTGAAGTCATTTCAAGGGACTTTGTTCCCCAATAGTCTTAGCATTGGGCGGCGAGTGGGTGTCCAGAAAGTGCCAGTGGTGGTTTTTCTCAATGTATTGCTGGTGTGCTGGTGCTGGTGCTGTGCTGGGCACTTGAGCCGTGAAGGTGCATGTTAAGTGGTGCAGTTCTCACAGGCACCTCACTTGTAGCCTGTGCTACTTGTACTAAATCATGGATTTTGGTTGGAACTGGCTGGCGCACGGCGCATGAAAAATATAGGTATGGATGTATGCTGAAAGCTTAAATGGCAGGTAAAACATGGAGCCATATGGGGTTGTACACTCTATAGGCGGGCGGACCTTGGTGTCCTAGTGTGTATATTACTATAACGTTATACAGGGTATTTCAAATTCATGCTGTGGCATAGCCTTGCGCAAGCGGGGTATGGTGATGGGTGCAGCCAGTCTCATCTCTGGCAAGCCGCCCTGCTGCGTAGTTGGCCCAAGTGAGGCTTGTGCCCAGTCATCCAATCAAAGCATGTGTAAATGATGATCATCAGTCACGTTGATATCACTGTCTACATTGCATATTTCTACATTGATATCAATGATTATTCAGGTGTCAAGGTGTCACAGTGTGAATATGCAAAGGTGTTAATGTCATGTCGTGTCACAGTGGGACGTGATCCCAGGATAGACTCTGGGTTCATACTGTATCATCCTCACTGGGACGTCTGCTCCTCCGATTGACCGACCTAGCACGAACACATGACGTGTGTCTGCCTACTGGGCTTTGTGTGCTTGGGTTGGTGAATCAGGCAGGTTCCAGGTAGATGTTTGTTTTTTGTGGAGATTCAAAGTCTTGAGAACAATGAGAGGTTCTCAGTGTTTACTTGTTTTTGTCTAAAAACTATGGATTTTGATGTCAAACACTCCTGAAACTCCTACAATTCCTGATTTGGAAAACTGTTTGAATGTCCATGGTATTTTTAGGTGTCTGGGGATTGTTGTGAGCAATCTGAAAACGACCCATGAAATCGCAGGAAATTACCCGCAAACCCACCACAAATTCCGCAAACATCTGGCACATATCCGCAAATCCAGAAAGACGGGAAGCGGACAAGTTCAGATTTTCCAGGTTTGGAGATGGCCACACTTGGTAATGTCACGCTGTAACATGGCAAAAGAAAACTGAAACTCTTGAAATCATTGAAAAGCGGAAACTCTTGATTCTTTCCAAGAGAATGAGTCTCCAGCTGCCAATGCCAAAGCAAATCCACCTTGCGCGCGTTGCGGTCCCCAACTGTTTTGCAGCCAACAGCTTGGAACTGCATGCGAAATCGATTCTTGACAATCCACTGACTCGCTCATGTCTTGCTTGGTGCAATTTTCAAGTAACATCCAGGGAATTTCCAAAGTTGGGAGTATTATTCATAAAATTCAGGTATAGTCAGATGTATTCAGAAGGACACACAAAATATTGTATAATATGTTCTGACAATGAGCAGTCCACTGTATTTTCTGCGGATTGTCAAGATGCATTCAAGATGTTTATATAAACGGATCTCGCTCCAGATCGTAATAAATCCATGCCGCCCACGCCCGAACATGGCCTTGGACGCCCGGGTGCTACATCTGAGTTCTTCCAAAAAAACCTTTGACAAGAAAGGAAATTTGCCGCCAAACCTTTCCCACGCCCAGACTAAAGCAAGAATATTGAGTATTGAGTATCTTTTTTGCCGCTGCAGTCCCTTCATGCATTATCATTGCGAGTCATAGCGTATGAACCAGGTGCCCTGACTGAAGGTGGGAATATGCGAAGCCCATTGAAGCCCCCTTCCTACAATCCTTGCCATCCTTGAGATGATTTTATGCGCTCGCGGGAAACCTGCATGTGCCTGTGTTGGGCTGAGTCTGGCGGATGCGAACGGTCTGAAGTACGGAGTCCAACGACTCCGAGCAGAGTTTGTACCATGTCACGCTTATACTGTTTTGCTTGCGTACCGAATGCCGAAAGTACAAATGACATGGCGCACATGCAACAAAGTTTTTTTTGTCCTCGGAAAGGTTGTAATATTATAGTGACCTTGTGCGAGGCCAGTAGGCTAGTGGCAGATGATAGCGTGGTATTTCGATTCTGCTCGGTAGGCTGAACCACCGACGAAATGGTCTTGGACAGGGCCCAGGCAGTCCATCCAGGCTTCGCGATCTTGGCAATTGTCGTTGGATGAACGCAAGTGTCTCTTCCACGGGCTTGCTACATGTGCGTTTGCAGTGACGTCACGGATCTTTTTTTTCTTTGCATGGCCATGTTGTGCAAGAGCGCTGAGTAGCTAAGTGCCCACAGTTGAAAATGCCGAAACTTCGGCATTCTTGTAGACTTTCGATGACTTTCGCAGTGGCTTTGACAGAAGCAGAAAACAGAGTGTGAACATATATTGAAACAACACCGGATCATGGACGTGATGGTAACTGCAACCCTCCATCCTCATGTTACAAAGACAACGCATTGGTTGGAAGATGTTGGAAGTAGTCGGATTTAATTAGTCGAATATGCATTGATGGCTCCCCATTTCTTGCAGACAGTCTGTACCTTCCCAGACATTCGCATAGCCCAGATGTTGATGAAGCACACGTTCAAGTTCAACCTGCTTAGATTTGGAAGTGTCAAATTCAGCTACCTGAAGAAAAGATCTGGATCCAATGATTCCAATGAGTGACGATTAGTGACGAACTGTGGTTTGCTCAGAGAATAAGAACAGTCAAAGGGGCCAACAGGGTCACAGGTGCCATTTTGGGGTATGGATGTATGCTGAAAGCTTAAATGGCTTAAAGTGCCACGGATCATTTTTGAGATTTTTGAGCCACATGAAATCTGGTGAAGTCATTTCAAGGGACTTTGTTCCCCAATAGTCTTAGCATTGGGCGGCGAGTGGGTGTCCAGAAAGTGCCAGTGGTGGTTTTTCTCAATGTATTGCTGGTGTGCTGGTGCTGGTGCTGTGCTGGGCACTTGAGCCGTGAAGGTGCATCTTAAGTGGTGCAGTTCTCACAGGCACCTCACTTGTAGCCTGTGCTACTTGTACTAAATCATGGATTTTGGTTGGAACTGCAAGGAAGAAAATGCATTCTGACTGCACGCGATGTTTCTCTTGGATTTCCACCTCTCGGATTTCCACCTCTCAGATTTCCGGAATTCATTGGTGGCTGCAATGAATTGTTACAAAAAAAACAATGCCTGTGCTGCTGGTGGTGGTGGTGGTGGCTGTGCCAGGTGTTCCTTCTTTCCAAGGTAGAGGGGTGGGCCTTTTTTTTCGCACCCAAAGTTGCATCTTGCAGAAGATTGCAACTCGATTGCAACTCAATAGTCCTTATAATCCTTTTGCAGTTAGGGTTGTTTGTTGGGAGAATGTCATCATCCAATCCGGGGCATCCAGAATTTTCAAGCAGCCTGCCACGATCCCACCGCCTGGCTCCCAGGGTATGATGCCGATGCCAACGAGAAGCCAACCAAATACATCCCAGAATCAACCATCCCTGTGCCACGGCAGCATGGGTGAAGCTGTTTATGGCATTGGTAAAAGAAGCATTGGTAAAAGAGGCATTGGTTTGCAGCCGTGGAAATATGTAAAAATCGCATTGGCTGAGAGCATTGGTTGAAGTCGCATTTTTCTACCGCACTGGTTTACAACATTGGTTTTAGCATTGGTTCTAGGATTGGTTTACGGTTTCGGTTTGTGGCATTGCATTGCAGCTTTTGTTAGTAGCATTGGTTTTTTAACAATGGTTGAGAGCATCGGATTTTAGTTTTGGTTGTAGCATGACTGTCTACACCATTGGTTTACAACATTGTTGTAGTTTTGGTTATAGCATTGGTTTATGGCAATGGTTTATAGCTTTAGTATGTAGCATCAGTTGATAGCATTAGGTAATTGCATTGGTTGATAGGATTGGTTGTTGGGTGTAGCATTGCAACATTGGTGTGTAGCATTGCTTGGTTGTAGCATTGGTTTACAGCATTTGTTTTCATTTTTGGTTGTAGCATATAGCAGTGGGTTTGAATTGGTTCTTGGCACTCGTTTATAGCTTTGGTTTGAAGCATTGGTTTATAGCTTTGGTTTGAAGCATTGGTTTATAGCATTGGTTTGCAGCTTTGGTAATTATTTGAATTGTAGTTGTAGCATTGGTTTATATTGGTTTATAGATGTTTATAGCCAGGATTTGTAGCATTAGCATTGCTTCATTGCATTGGGTTTGAAGCATTAATTTTGGTTCATTCACGACTCATTATTTGGTGGTTGACTAGATAATTGTGCCTAGAAGGCGCGAAACAAATATGCTAAAAAGAAAACCCTCATTTTTGCAGGACATCCACGTAGTCAATTGCATTTTTGAATGCCATATTCTTGGGAACATCGGCATGCCTCGGTCTGTTTCCTGTGGCACTGTGGCCTGTAGGGATTGTGCTCATAGTTTCAAAGTATCGCAAAGTACCCGGCCTGGTAATTTGTTACATAGCTATTGAAAATGACCATAGAAATAGATAGAAATAGTGGATTTTCCCATTGATAGCATGGTGATTTTCCATAGCTATGTAAACGTTTACCAGAGGGTAACACACTTGCGCAAAACATCTCTTCAATCCTCCATGTTGTTCGACCGAAAAATCAAGATCACTCACCTCAAGTGATCTGCAAATCTGCGATTTCTGTAGCCTGGCTGCCCAATCCAAAGGATTCTCAAGGTAAAAAAACAAACATCCACCAGCCCAGGTTTAATGGAACTTGATTGAACTATATTAATATTTACAGTATATGTATAATATATATAATTATATTATGTTATATTAAATTATATTATATTAAATTAATATTTTAGATTATATTGAATTATATTATATTATATTATATTGTATTATATTACATTATTGTATTTTCTTACAAGATACATCGAATTGAGAGTTGTTGAGTTGCCCAGGTCTTCAAGCTCTTTGTGCGCGGCGACAAACAGAATCCCATCAGTTTCAAAGGGGAGCGCACCTTGAGAGGCAGTTGGATACCTCAACGGTCAATCCCAAAGCAAAGTGCATGGGCAGAGTTGGACATTTTGCTGACTCACTCATGACCGGCGATGCCGTTTTCATGTCCTATCATGTAAAAACAATACGGCTTGACGCACGAGAAATCCAGTTTCAAGATATTTGTTCAAACTTGTTGGCTGCGGCTGTCAGCAAAACAAGTGATGCCTTTGGGGATGGTGATAGGGACCGATGTTCATCATGTATGGAAAAACACAGGGAGAAAAGGAAGCCTTCCATCATTTTTTAGCGTTCGCAAAAAACAATGAGTTTGAAAAATCAATACGTAGAGACTCTAGACTCTACTTACTCGGTATCAAGTAATGATGTTGGGTGGTCAGTGGTGATGCTCACTCCTTCTAACTGTTGTAAGTATAGTTACTGTATAACCTTGCTCTATCTTGCTCTCATACGCTCTCACCAGCACCAGGTTTTTTGGCTTTCCTAAAGCAGCACACCAAGTTGGATATCCAGGACCAGCCAGCCTTTTTGGTGGGTGTTACGCTGTTAGGATTTCAGAGTTTTAGGGTTTGTTGTTAGGTTTAATGAAAGTCAACCAGCGCTAGCCCTACACAGAGCTCCGAGCATGTCAAAGAATATGCGGGACTGGTGGTGGAAACATATTTATAGTGTTTATATCGACTGCGTGTTGCAGTCTCAAGACGTCTCAAATGCTACTTGGCCGGCTTTTACTACCAAGTAGCAATTGTATGGTTCCTTTTGGATTGTTGAGCAGCTCTGCTTCATGGCAGGATGCCTTACGGCTTCTCTATGCCGACTATTGCTTTCAGAATGACATTGAAGACCTCTACAGGCCATGACACGACCGATATCAACGGCCATTAATGGACCTGAGATGGGCTGAGGTACACGGTGAGTACTTAGGGGATTATATAGATTATTAATGATTATATATATATATAGATCAATCATGATATATTTATATATAAAGATCAATCATGATTATGTATATATATATTGTATAATTTTCTACTCGAACAGAGATCTGAAAAGCGAAGATGTAGTGATGCATAGTTCCCAACGCCTTGACATCCCGTTGTTCAGAAAGAACTTTGGCTCGTTGTTTGGCTTTTTCTAGGTACTTCTTGGCATCTTTGGCAGCCCAACTGGACAAGAATCATCAGCTTCCATCCCATCTTCTTCGCTCGTTGGCTGCAACCAGAAGCTGCAAAGTACAGTCACGACATGCAGTTGAGTATACAGAAAGATTCGTTCACTCGTCACTCGGAATTTGAACAGTTCAGGCCTTTCAGCACTTGGGCCGGTTGGACATGATCATCAAGCAACATCAAGCAACATAATCCATCTATAATCATTAATGATATATATATATAATCATGAATGATATATATCTATAATCATAGTTGAAATATATCGACCCCTGAGCCCCACTATGTATAGCATAGGTAGTAGGTCTAGTGTAGACATGCCGTAGCTATGATTCCATAACATTCCGAAGTAGTACATCCAACCATATGTACAGAATAGCACCTTCTACTTAGATGCAGTAAGTAGATAGAGAGTCTTAATTAGAGATGGGTAAACCATAACCCTAACAACAACCTGGGTTAAGGTCAATGCGCCATTGATGTTATGGCTCAAGTGCTCCGTCCAAAAAGGAGCATTTGCTTGTTTTCATGTGCAGGGTTTGCCGGTTTAGATTCCCCTTGTTTTGGGTTTCTGTTCCGACCCCCTGTTTGACTGGTTATCAGCCGTAAGGCTTTTGTTGGGGAACCTAATCCGGTAAAACCTGCCTTAGGCCCTAACTTTCTTTTCGCACTTCACTGTTCTTTGTTGCATGCCCACAGGCAGTTCGGACCAGGTCGCTGCTGATTCCAGCGCGACGGTAACACCAGCCGAGGGAGTCGAGGCAGCTGAGGAAGCAGAAAGCGTTGAGGTGTCCCCTCCGCGGCCTGCTGAACCGGTAGCTGAGACATCTCAAAGCTGGGCCGACCTGTCTGAGGTACAAGCGCCCGTGCCTTCAGGTTTCGACTCCATTGCGACAGACTCTGCAGATCCCCATAGATCACTGGTAGAGGTTAAGGAGGAGATCCACGAGGCCGAGAGCATCAGTGCGGCAATCTCAGCAATTGGCTTGCCAGAGCCTGGGGAACCATTCGTACACCAAAAATGTAGCCATGCCTGGAACGGACTCAAAACCTGCATGAGCATAGCCATGGAGCATTTCCACGGCCATATGCCTATTTTCACGGCCATAGCTGTGTAACGCTATGAAATTCACGAGGTACATTGTGAAATTCACAGTTTGCATTGTGAAATTCACAGTTCACAGTGTGAAATGTTTTAAGACAAGATAGTCAGAAGATCTGCAAAACCTTGGGTTTCCAGTCTTAAGCCCCTATATATAGAGATAGTATATATCTAAAACTTTGAACACTATATATAATTATAGTATATTTATATCTATAGTATATTTAATCATTCATGGTGTGAAACACATGGCATTTCGCTTTTGACTTTCAACGGGCGTCGTTTCGCCGCTTGGTTCCAAAAATGATTTTTGGGTCAAAATGACTCACCCGGCCAAAAAAAAAACAAACACAGTTCAAGATGGTAAATGAAACATACCCAATCCAAACATAAAAAGTGGTTCATGCAGATCCAGCTGTGGCGTTACGACTCCAATCCCGGCCGTGCATGGCAACGCATGCCAGCAGTTTGAGGCCTGGCTTTTTTTCCTCGCGCGCCAGTTTCAAGTTGTATGGAATACTCATAAGCCACCGTTCCATTGTTCGGAATTGTGACGTCTTTGTGGAGGTAAGCCTCATGGTCCGACTGATTTTCTTTAACCAGTCCTCGTCTAACCAAGTTGCATAAAATCGAGGATTGAGATACCCATGAGTACTTTCACAAAGGTGAAGAAACAAGTGGAGCTTTGGGCGTACTCTGTAAGCAAACATGTGGTTTTGGACCGCTTCTGCGGCCTGGTTCAAGTAGAGTTGTACAAACATGCGCCCAAGAACTTTCAGAGTATTTCGTTCGTTTTCCACCAAAAAACGATCTCCACTGTAGAGTAGCCGTACCAACCGGTTGGAACACCAAAAAAGGCTGCAAATATCCCTGTAGTGGTCAGAGTAGGGTGCAAGTAGATCTCCAAGCCACACACCCACCACATGTGCATCAGAACCGCTACCGCGGAACTCCGGAAATTTCTTAGCCTGCCATGTAAGTTTCTTCTTTGTGAAACGTTTCATTTTCAGCCCATATTTGTTTGCGCGAGCATAGGCTCTAAGACTTTCCGTGGCTTGTTTCAGCCTGGCATCAATGTTGGGGCCATCAAAGATGATCCTGTCTTGAAGTATGGTTTTCATCGCAGTTCCAATCAGATCACGGGCGACCCCCAAATTCCATACATGGAGCATGTCAGGGAATAGCATCTTCAATGAGAAACCTTCTAAACTTGCATAGGCAGGGGTTGTTGTCCACGGAAACGACTGTAGATAAGTTGATCTCCAATTCGCAGAATCTTGAATGTCGGTAAAAGCCATGGAGATATCACCAGAACCCTTTGTAGCTTCGCACAAATAGCAAATCTGCAGGGTTTGGTTGCTGGCTAAAGTTTGTTATATATAGGTTCATATGCATAAACAAATAATATCCAAACCAACAAACCATGTTTTTTTGAAATCCATCCCTGACCTGATCATGACCATAGTGCCGTTCCAGGTTGAACACCTGGACATATGCCTTCCAGTCCGCACGATGCCCCATGCAGAACATCTTGAGGCGTCCAACCTGGGAAAACGTTGTATGGAAAATGACAGGATTGATACGGGTTGTTTTATTTGGGGGAAACTCAAAAGAAAAGATTGTTCTAGGCAAAACCGGGTTTCAGTGCAACTTCCCATAGACGGGACATCTCTCAATTTCACACCAGAAGTTGACAATTTTTCCAGAGACTTAGCTATCTCAGCAGTGGCCGCGGCTACTGTCAAATTGATACCAGTTTCATTGTCCATGAGGTATAATGACTTGGGTATAACTGCAATCGGCCATCTCGAACATGCAGAGTTCGTTGGAAAGCTCGAGTGGTCTGAACACCAGATCAGAAATAACCAGGTATCGTTCAGCACCTCCACCTCGTCACCTGGTTTGTAGCGAAGATATTTGAAGTATATACAGGTATATCATGGTATATTATCGATCTATATTGTTGGAAACAAAGATTGGACTTGCCAAGTATGAAACAAAAACACATAAATGACTCAATCCAGTTGCAATATAATGTATATCCCAAAGAAGTTGACCACTGTCGGCTGTCACTTGCCACTGGGTGGGATGGGTACTCACGAGCCATTCCTTCCCAATACTCTCTGAGAGCAGAGAAGTCCTCAACCAGTGCATCGATATGCCCTTCGGAAATCAAACTCTTTGCCTGGGCTGGTTATTGTTGCGGTTGCTTTTCAAACTAACTGGTTCTATTTAGAGAGATGCTTCAAGAATGTCATACAGAAAAAAACATTTGTAACAATCCAATCCAGGTTCGAAATTGTGTGGCAGCAAGAATGGCCAGCTAGTCATAGTCGGTTCACTATCATCAGCAGATGTTTTCATGGGGATCAACCTGTTGGAAATCTCGCATGGCAGGGCATGACCTGGCTTCACTGCCCGATTGTGAAGTCCACGTTCCCTAGCCGACCTCAGATCCGCCAGGCTGTGATGATTGATGCAACCATGTGGAGGCCATGAATCATGGGAGTCCGGGAGTTCATGGATAAATCAAAATTTCCGGTTAGAATTAAGCTTTCAATGGGGCAAACTTGACAAGCGTCCCACAAATTGTGACCCAGATACGAAACCACAGATGAGTCATAAGCTCCAGCAATGTGTCGAGCAAAACGAACGCTCGAATATCCAGAGCCAACTCCATAGATAAGCCTCAATTGAGCAAAAATCCACTGGTACTGTACCCAGCATCCATGATAATTTATCCAAGGAACACTTCGTCAAGTCTTTCCCTCAACATTTGGTCTGCAAGCTGCGCTGTACCTGCAAGGGGGGCCCCATGTCAACCGACCAATATGATGTTTGCAGATTTCCAAGACTCTGTTTTATCCTTCATTCTTTGAACCCGATTCTAGATCGAATCTAAGTAGCAGCAGCCATGTTGGCTGGGTCAAAATCACGGCCAGCACTGCACATGCAACATTGTGGAATCTTAAATATGAATATGAACCGTTTCAAACAAGTATTCAACATATAAAACTGTGTGATTTTTTTGGGATTGGTCACCTGACGCTGCATGGCCTATCAGTGTTGGCACTCCCCTTAGAGGATTTCAGCTCAGTTTCATGAGCTCAAAAGTTTAACCTGGGATCAGGCCCTCACTCTTCGGCGTTGTCCTGATGACGCATCTCAGCGATGACTGCTCGGGCCTGAGCACGTAGAAGGCGACTGGCATTCACCTGGGCAAGGGCAGCGTTTGACGTGTTTCTGGGTATCACTTGCCATTTGTTAGAATGATCTTTTGCAGGTTCAAGTTCATGTGGATTCCAATTCGATCAGCAAAAGAAAAATTGGAAAACCATAGCCCACCTCAGTATTGCAATCCGCGCACATTTGCTCCAAAGAGTCTTCCTCGCAGGTCTTTGTCCTAAGATTGGAAGCTGTTGGTTTCAGAACATATTTCATGGTAACATCATATAACATATTTTACCTGAATAACATCGATATTTTTCATGACCTTGGATCCGGGTTTCTCAGAAGATTGAAAAATGCCCATGTGGCTATCCTAAAAAAATGCAATCGTGATTCGATTCCAAGAGATCTGCCAGCTTGGTCTTCTTGCGCTCCAGCAAGCTGCGCAGCTCATGCTGAGGTGGAAGATCCATGGACAATGCGCATGCGTTGAACTCCTTCTTCAGCACTGCGCCTTGGCGAGGAAGGAAATGTGGTCAGGAGTTTGGATGACAATTCAACCCCACGGGTTTCCCAAAAGATATACCACTTAATTAACGATGTATTTTATAGTGAAAATGAAAATCTTTTTGTGGATTTTGCAACCATGTTGCGTAGAGTATCACGACGCTCTGCTGGAGTCTTGGCATGTTGCAACGACACACCAGCTTTGGCCTTGGCCTTGGCTTTGCATTTGGCTTTCGCCTTCGCAGCAGGAGCACCCG